GTGATTTGGACAGAGAAGCAGAAGCTGAAGCAGTTATTTCACTCTTAATTCACTGCCATGCAGGGGTGCTGTTGACAGGAGATGGAGCCCGGCTCAACGGAAGAGACACAAGGTTAGGAATTTAGTAGGGCTGGATCCTATTCCTCCTTCCGCCACTGCTCTGCTGTCTAATTCTGGGCAAGTACATCCCCTCCAGGCATCTGGTTCCCCTCCCTGACACATCTATTTAAACTGCAGATTCAGAGGGGTAGCAACCATCTTGGTAATGACAAAGCATGTACAACACACTGCACTAATATTTCTATTAATAAATATTCCCACTGCTATTAAGTAATAAAACAAAAACCATGAATGGCTTTGTGAATTGAATGGTCAATGATGGGTTATATATTAATTTTACGGTACTCAGGTATAAAAAAAAGCACTCTCCCAAGTGGTAGCAGGGAGAGGACACCTATGTTGTTTTCCTGAATATTTGGGTGATCCAATTAGAGGTAATTGAGTTTTTAACTACACAGAATTACTTCAAGAATACCATCACTAGAGGCTAAGTCTCCCAGGAGGCTGGGGGAAGTGAGCAAACATTATCAAACTGGAAGGAACAGAAGAGGGACAGAGCATGCAGCTTGAAACATGCTGTGGAGAGCATGAAGCTGAGCCAGACTAAGGCAGTCACATTTTTTACAAACATGTAAATGGATGGGCCACAAAGACTTGCATGTTCCCAATTCAACGAATTAAACACAAGCTAAATACATCCACACTTCTATGTATTTTTAACCACAGTGGTAAAGTACAGATCCAAAAGCACCAAAGCACCAAAAGCCTCCTACAGACCTGTAAAGACCAAAGACATAAAAAATCCTAAACTACTGTAATGAAATTAATTCCTGCTGCATTTGCAAATTGCCATTTGTGTGTAACACATATGAGCACCTCTTTCACACATTAAAATTAGTTTCACATTAAAGGCACTTCCCAACCAGAAACGGTCACTATATTCACCAAGAAACAGAAGAACGGTTCTATTGCCAGACCTTAGATTTGTTTTGCACAACCTGATAAACCCTAGAAATGCGAGAAACAACATTAATTTCAGACAACCTTTGCTCTTTGACAGCTACTAAAATCTAAAGTACAAGCATTGACAGGTAAGAGTATTTTTAGCACTACTGCCACAATTAAGATTGTTACAGTTTCTTTTGTAGCTTTACACTGATTTGATATTAGATTTAATGACTGTTTTAAATATTCAGATATGCTGAAGGCATGTTTCTTAATATGATGAGCATGACAAGCAGAAAACTCTGAAGCACCTTCTTCCCCTACTTACATAGGTAAATCAAACTGATCGATTAACAAGGTATGCTTCGTGCACAGAAGATATAATTTACTGAAGTAAAATTTAAAAGTTAATGAGCAGACTGGAAGAAAAAACAGCTTCCATTTGAAAGGAACAAAAAACCCCAATTTAACAAAAAGAAAAGTGAAGGAGACCCTATCCTTATGAGCTAATTGTCTGCCTCATGCTATAGGGGATGCTCTTGCTTAGCTTACAAGTGAAACACACTCCCTCCTCCCACTGAAAGCACAGGAACTCCACAGCACTAATATGACACCTTAAATGAGCCAACTTCCTTGAGCATTGCTCAGGAGACTAGAATGGGCATGCCTCTTAATTCAGAAACCGAGAAACACGTCTGATTATCAGTCAGGCTGAAGAACATCTCTGACCAAGACCATCCCAGGAAAAACAGTCATGTTTAAGCTGAAAAAAAACAAGTGGATTGCCACAACTGGCATATTTTTATAGCCTTTGTGTAAACACAAGCTCCGGATTAGCCAGCCTCTCAGTTAGCTCTGAATTCCCTTTTTTGAAACAAAATTAAGAAAAACACCCACCAGAAAAGGTCAGTGACCAAACTATTACCAAAAAAAAAAAAAAAACCCAAAACCCAAAAGCACTGGGGATGAACATACATAGTGAATCATTAAAGTTGCGCTGCCGAAATTCATGAGCACAACAGTCTTTTCACTGAAAGTATAGTTAACGTGCAGAATTGTTGGGCCAAAAAGAGCATTAATTAGAACTGTGTTTTTTTAATAAATCCTCAGTACTCCCCTAGAGCTGTCCCCACCCACAGAAGTGGTGTGAACCCCATGGCTTAGAGAGGAGCAAAGCTAAAGCAACTATCAAGAATGCTATGCAACAAATGCTCTACCTATTTCAAGTGCACACCTATGCCAAACAAATGAACTGGGCATCTTGGATTTTTAGAAAAACACTCAACCTGGAACATAAGCATGTCATAAAGTGAGTGCCTAGGCGGGAATTCACCTTATGCTGTCACTAGAATACACTGTCACAGATCATCAACCACACCAAAATCACGCATAGTAAGCAGTATTGCTTTTTACAAAAGCAAATCTGTCCGAGTCAAACAATTCTGACTACAGTAACTTTCCAAGACGCATCCCTGTCCTAATCTGAAAACATGAAGAATTAGAGATTTCATTGCATTCCAGAGTCAACTTCAACAGTAGGGCAAATTAACCAGTGGAACATTGTGAACTTTAGGTCCTATTTGTTCCTTCAGTTCCTATTTAGATACTATTTGTTTAACTAAGGTTACTGGTTCTTGCTAGAGTTTCAGATTTGGCAGGTTCTGTGTTAAGGAGGTACTTACTGTAAATTGAGTCATATCTTAACCTCCCCTTAAACTAGAAGCAGAACGCAGTACAAAGCATATCTTTCTGCCTTTGAATGGACTTTTGTGGCACCCTTTGCATTCTTTCTGGTTTTTGCATTCAAAATGCAGTCAGCAAAACTCTTCAGTCTGTGAGTCTTCCTAACACTACATTTAGAAGGAAAAGTCCTTTCCTATTTATTGATGTACTACTCACATACCTAAGGCCCCCCACACACACACACGCTGTGGCTAAGGCTCAAATTGCTGTATTTGCTTAGCTAAACTTCCAAATCCTCTTCAAGAGCCTGTTATTTACTCCTTTATTTATAATTTTGCATTTAGCCATATTAAAACGCATTTCATTCAAAGAGGCCAGCTTGTCAAAGCAGCCTATAAGCTGCCAACTTGCATGTCATCCATAGAAATTCAACATCTGCTTCCAAACACTGAACTGTGTCCTAGCAGAACACCCACAGAAATATTCCCATGTTGTGGTACCAATAACTACTACAGAAATTACAAGTTAGCCAGTTAATTCATTTATTGTGCAGAATCTCAATATTGTTATTATTGTGTAATATAATTTCTATATTATTCTAAAAATCAAAGTCATGTAATAACTAAAAATCAAGCATACTATGAAGAAAAATACGGAAACATTCATCCTTCTCAAGAAAACCTGTAATTCGATCAGTGTAAAATCTGTTTCGCTTGATGTAATCCATTTTCTATAAATCATAGTCACCAAGTTCATATCCTTAACTTCATTGTTAACTGTATTTATTCCTAATTTTTTTAAAGTTATTCTTTTTTAATCTAGGACTAAGGTCAGTCAAGGTGAGTTTTTTTAGTTTGTTTCTTTGGGACTAAAATTAAATTAGTCATCTATTCACGCTTTCTGAACACTGATAAAGAATCAATCGGTTATCTGGAATCTCCCTTATTATTCCAGATGTCAAGTTTTAAGTGTCATGATGGTAGAAATCTCCTGACCCAAGTCTTTCACCATTACTGGATGAAGTTTACTTAGGGCTGCAGATTTGAAATGTCCGCTACCACATACTGCATTTAACATCCATTTACAAATGCATTAGAAAGTACTTCCATTGCCCTCATCATGTAGCATGCTTATCTTCTTCCTCTTCCCAGAAGGAAGGTGAACAGCTTTAAGAAATTCTGACAATATATTTTAACAGCAGAAAAGAGAGAGACATTCAGTTAGAATATTTTTTGAACAGAACATTTTCTATTAGTTTTTCTACACAAACAGAAAACATCTCACAAAGCCTATCTTCCCCAAACTCTTATATTTTGAAAGAAAAAGGAGTAAGAGTTTATACTACACGAAAACAAGAAAACAATCTGCACAACTTTGCAAAAGCTGACACTACTTTTGGAAAAATAAGCTGTGAATGCTTCTAGACTGTAAACTCTTTGGGGAATCATAAACACAGCAGAGACATCCCTGACAGAATAAAATGATTAACTGACAAGAGATTAACTGACAAGAGACTAGTTTGATGCAAAGGTTTTTGCTTTGCTGACTTGATTTGTTGAGGAGGTAGAGGATGTTGGTTATTTTCAAGCCATCCTTTACCATTATGAATTCTAAAATACAAAGCCTAAAAAAGTGCAAAGATTTAACAAAAAACAAACAAATGAACACAACAACAACAACAACAACAACAACAACAACAACAAACCAGTAAGGTGCAAAAATGATCAGTAACTCATGCTCCCAGCCCTAAACCACTCCTTCTCAAATACATTTCCATTGACAGGCTGATGTGTACTTGTACTATGTTGTGATAAAGAACAGGAATGCTGACAGATCTTTAGCTGTGACCGTAGCAGTAACACATCTGCAAAAATATACGCTGCTTCCTAGTGTCCAGTAACAATGAAAATAGCATCTTTAACCACTCAGCATCATTTTCTAAATTGTCTATCTCATCCTCGCAGATTATTCCAGTGCTTATAGTATATCTGAAGAAAGTGCAGGCTATTCTTGAACTTCCAAAATTTCAACTTCCACAACTGGTACACAAATGAGACAATAATAATTCAAGGACAGTTCAAGTTTGCATGGAAAGAGATATAACTTGGGTTTTTTGACAACTACGCAAAGAAAATATTCCATATATTCCAACCAGCAGAATGATTAAAATTATTTAATTCCTAATTACTTAATTGGAAGAGAACAATCTATTTCATATAATATACAACTCAGGTTTAAATAACCTCTAAATTTCATATGCAGAAATCCTCAGTCTTTTGAAAGGCATTAAAAAAAAAAAAAAAAAAAATTACCATTTTGATGCCAGTGGAAAACGTGACTGGTTTGACAGGTTTGGGTTTTTCCAGTTGCATTTCTAGGTGAGTAGATCTGTCTTTATGCTGAGCTAAAAGCAGTGAAGCAGGAAGACTGGAGCTCTCCTGTAAACATAAGAGGAACAAATTTGAATGTTGAACCAAAACAAACATTAATTAACACTGCATATTCTTCAAAACCACAAGCTGTGTCTGAAAGGCCATCACTAGCAGAGCAGCATAATGCTAAGTATCCTCTCTATGAGAAACAGTTTACAGAAAACGATCATTTTCAGTAATAAGAAAAAGCTGCAGCAACCCCATAAATCAGAGTAACCTGCAAACAACCATTTTTATAGAATCCACATTAAAGACAATATAACAGGCTCCTTATTCCAACTGGTCAATGCAACTATATTTATTAAAATAAAAAAAATTAGAACTTAATCAGAGAAGGAATAATACCAAGTAGTATAACTTGGATCAGATGTTTATCTAAGACGCATTCTTTCTACCAATGAACTCAGACCAGTTTGAAATTGTTTCCCATTAGATTTCACCTGAGGCCGTTTGGAAACGATCCTTGCTCTGCTTTGCACAATGGCACTATTGTAAGTGCAACCAACAGCATATTTATTTTCTCCTTCACCAACTTATTTTTAGGGAAGCCAGCCAATTTTTAAAAAAATATATAACATGTAGTAAAATGAACAGTTAAGCAAATGAACTACTTAAACTCTCAGAACAGAATGATTATTAACATATATGTATGTAACTGCATTCTTGAGAGAGTCAGAAAATTATTGGCCAAGTTATTTTCTAATAAACTGAACTATCCACATGCACACCAACATCCTTGAGACTTTCTAGCTAGAAAGATCGTGAAGTTGAGAGCAGGGAAGAAGTTCAGATGGATTCTCCCTCAACTGCTCTAGCGCAGTGTTTTATTCCTAAAGCCCTCAAATACTACATACACTTCTGTTTCACAGAACCAAGCAAATACAGAATTATGAACCACATATTTTACTCACAAAACCAAACAAACTGTAATAAGCTGGACTGTGATTTTTCAGTTATTCAGTTCAGGGTAAGAAGTTGGAAGTTTTTAATGCCATGAGATGCCTTACTGTTTATGGTATGCTAGAGAAATCTTCTGAACTGATCATGAACAACAGTCATGTTGTACTGACTTCTCACATCACTCTCCAATACCCTTTTCTCTCTTTTTTTTTTGTTACACTCCCTTTGTCTTACAACTAGTTTGCAAGTGCTAAAAGTAGAAGCAGCTCATCATGATGAGAACTGGTCCAGAGTCACAAATACAAAACTAAGGCACAGGATCCTACTCACATTTCTCTGGTTAACTGGGAGGAGGGGAAAGAAGAGGTTAAAAACCTGAATTATAATAGTAAGAGACATCTCATTTCTGTACAGCTGGGAGAAAATTTGGACGAAGAATGCACTAGTTTACAGTCTGCATCTTCAAAGTGTTCTACATGTCCATAGCCACCATGCAGCAGAGCATGTGCTGCTAGCTGTTAGCAGAGATTAAGGATGTTGGATTCTTTTAATCATAATGCACCAGGGGAGAAGGGAAGGGTGGGAAGCATTCTCTGGTTTATTTTGTCCTCTCATATTCCTTAAACTTTCCCTGCATTTCTAATACAATAACTGAGGAAGCCAATTTTTGTACCAACTTCTCAAGAGTTCACACAACAGTAACTAGATTACACAACTGTGGGAAACCCATACCGTGCCAGCAAGCCACCTCGATGTCATTGTTTGTCCTTTTGAATATGCACATAGCCCTTCTGTTAACTATTAACACGCATGAAAGGGACAATCCTGTAAGCATTTATCCATACTAGCAGTTGTCTATACACGAAAACAAACTGTCCAACAGTACGAACAAAGCTAGTTATATGCAAAAATTTCTGGAAGACTCATCTCTAAAAACCCTGAGGTTGTGGTAAAAGTGTGGACGCATGATGGTTCTAGGGCATCTTGCCCTTTGCTTGACCGAGCTATGCCACAACAGAAAACCTCTTTGCCACATGCTGCAATGCCATTTTACTCATACCTGGGAAGTATGGGCTCTTGAAGAGGTAAGGGCAAGTCCCACAACACAGAAGACATCTAAGAGCAGATCTGTAATCCTCTGTATACAGGTGAGAGAGTTTATATAGTAAATAAGGGAAGTTATTTAATTATTTACTCAGCCCCAATTATTCAAGTCTAGAAGGTTAAAAAAAACGACACACATAACCCTTCCAATACTATGTAAATGCATTAAAATGCATTTGGGACTACAAGTCTAAATTACAACAAGGTGTTGTGCTTGTAGATATTTTATTTTAAAAGAATGTATAATTAAGGTAATACAAAATCTGCCTAATTTAGTACTAGGAGGCAAAACAGGCAACAAGTAACAGCCCAAGCAAAGCACCTGATTGCTCTTCCAGTAGCCTGCAGAGCCTGAGCCGCCTGCGATGCCTTGCTCACCACTCCAGCAAGCGACTCTGGCCTTCTCCTCCCTGCTCCCAGCCCAGGACAGGTTCGTGGAGCCTTGGCCCCAGGTCCAGTCCATCCTGTATGAGCCACTGCACTCCCCAGGCTGACCAGGAACCAGAGCCTGCTGCACACCATTTTAAATACCTAACATTTCTGTGCCTTCTTCCCTGCCTCTGGACTATCTAAATTATAAGCTTTTTGAAGATGGAACAGTATTCTCAAAAACTTTTGTAAAGAACTTTACTCAATATGCCAATACTATAACTAATATATATAACAAACTGTGAATCTCCTCAGTCATTAGGGTTTAAGCACCAAAGGTAGAATTTTCCTCTTGGAAGAGAAAAGACCCAACACCTCTATCTGTACCAGACAAAACATTTGGTTTCAATTTTTTCTTGCTGCCCTGTATGGAGGGCACGGAAATCTTGAAAAAACTGACCAAGACCCAGGTCGCATGGGGCTGCAGGTTCCCAATGCCAGGTGATGCATCCGAGAGACAATTCAAAACCAACTGGTGACATGTCAGCTTCCCACCTTCCTCTACACTGACAATCTTGCTGAGTCAGTAGTTTTGCCACTGGTATCACTGTAGCCAGAACTCAACCCTTGTTGTTTTAGCACAGTACCAGCAACCACAGATAAGAGGGATTTTTTTTAAATGTAATTCTTTACGCTGCTACTGCTTATGCTTGGCTTTCGCTGCATTTCTCAATCAGGTTTTACTTATCAGCTTCATTTTCAGATTTACAGCACAGCATTAGAGGGACTTCAGAAACCATAGGAAATGTTTATTTGTTTAACAACTGCTGGTTTTCCAGAGACTTTGTAAGTCATTATACAAACACTTCAGTTCTGGTTTTATAAACTTTTAGTATTACAAAACAAGTTTTGGCTCAAATTTAAGTTGACAGTGCCCCTTCATAAGCAGACACAAAACTTAAAGTGGCCCAGTTTCCTTCCTCAGCCTTTAAAAATCACCTTTCTGTTGTTTTTAGAATATCAAAATATGTTTTAATAGCAATACATATGCAATCACAGCTAAAACTACCTATTTTGGTCATGTTTTAAGGATTATTTATAACCATTCTTTCCACAAGCCATCTGGTAAAGTAGGTTTCCAGTAAAACCAACTGCTGGGAAAAAAAAAAAAACACCACACACACACCACCACTGGTCTCTAGTAAGTTATGAGTATATTTTAGAACAGGATTGAAGTAAGTCGGAAAACAGGTCAAAAATCCCAATTCTGTGCCATTAAATTCAAGTTTACAGTGGAGTTTTTATTGATTGATCTACTACTCAAACCTAATTGTGTGGATTGTAAGCACTTTTACCTTTAAAGTGAAAAAAGAACGCTGGATGCAAAGGGGAAAATGCCTCAAGTCTGTAAAAGAACCTTTCTGCTCATCTCTGCTTTTGTCCACAAAAAATGAAAAAACAGCTCCTTTCAGCAAAACCAATGACAGGTTGCCAGGACTCCTAGCTTAGAAACAGGCAACCCTTCAGGAGACCCTGAAGCTCCTAAATTGCACATCGATATGCTCTCTTCACGTCAGAGTCTTCTGCATTGGTTCAAAGCAGAACTCTACTTTTGCAGGAAAAGTAGAAAAGCACCTGTATCTTGAATAAGAACTAAGAATACAAAGCAGCAATTAACATTATATTTATGTGAGATAAACTGAAATAAGAAATTGATTTAAATCTGCCAAGCACTTTGAACCACATTGATGTAGACATAGCATACATACATACTACATTATTCTGATTTCCTTCAAGGTTACACACAGACTGTTCTCAAGGCTGTTTGAGCATGTGAATGTGTGTGCATGCATGCCTGTACAAATGCATGCATTAAAAAAATGGAAATGTGAATCTTGGTTCAGTAACACATTTATTGAGGTTCTCTATGCCCACATATCATCACTGCATTTCAGATGCAGAATCAGTAGTAAATTCAGCCAAAAACAAGATTAACACAATTTCCAGAAGTAGCCTGAGTTTTTCTTCAATTGTCAATGAATCCAAGCTTTGTTCACTTCAAAAGGAGAAACTCATACACAAAAAGTGTGCAGTAAGAGAAAATTACACACTCAAGGCAAGAGATCTTCTTTTAGTAGTTTCTGAATACAAAGGAATCACTTATTTAGGTGCTCTGACTCAAAAAAGGGTTGACTAATGTCTGAACAACTCATGAGGTCAGTGTCCCCTGGTCTCCACCATCTTCCCATTGCAGAGGTGGCTGAGCTCATAAAATAGCTCCTGATTACCATTTTGCTTCAATACGCCAGATTATCAACCACTGTTCAGGACTGTTTAACACGCCAACAACATTAAGCATTCGCATTATGGCCATACCAACCTAGTAGCTTCTCTCTATCCCCCTCACAAGTTGCATGATCAGCCATGCACCAAAGCAGATGCAGCTGCAGCTGAAGGCAAAACAAGCAGGCTTCAGACATGACAGAAACTCACCCACCATACATCAGAGGTTCAAGGCAAAGTAGTCACTATATCAGCTATGCTAATGCAAGCCATCCTTGTTCACAGTCAAAGCCTATGGCTATTCATATTGTCAATGAATTAAATAGAAATCTAAACTTCTCTACTAGCTCTTCTTCATGTATGCAGTCAGATGTCAACTAATAAGTAAACTGGTAAAGTGGCTGGAGTCACTACAGCAATTTCTGAAATATACCTCCACATGTCAAGTAGTGACAAGAAAAGAGCTTTCAAGGGAAGCTCACTAGGAAAATAAATGAAGCCCCAAAAGAATCAAAACAGGTAGAACCAGGAAAACAGCCTCCTTCAAATACCAAAAAACCCTCCTGCACTTTTCTTTGCTAGAATCTTATCCAAGATTAATTTCATGTTGAAACAACCAATAATGCTTTCCTATAATTAATTTTTAACCAGCACTGGACATTCTGAACACTGAGACCAATTAAATCTATGAATCCCCAAAATACTCTTCGTCCAGTCCTTAGACTACCAAAACCAGAGTTGTTTGCAACATTGAAATGAATAATAGGTGAGGGAACAGTAACACAAAACACCCAAGACAGGAAACAAAGGGGCAGATGTGTTAATTCCACACAGTTAACCGTGATAGAAACGAATGTCAGTGTACTTAATACTTGCTCTGCTAATGAGCGTTCAAAGCCTCTGGTTGTGTTACTCACCAGATCATCCAGGAGTGCCTGCTTATTCTTCCTTTTTATCATCTGCTGTAATTGTTCTTCTTTCTGTATGAAGAGTCGCCTTTGTTCATTCTCCTGTCGCTCTACCTCTAAAGCTTCCTCCAGCTCTTCCTGCTCACGCGTCTGAAATGGAAATTAGAAATAGACTCACAGCAATCTTCTGCCTTGGGTGGACAGAGCTTGCCCACATCTCTACTTCCTACCAAAGGACCTAGGAACAGAAGAAGCAATAAGAAAGCAGCCAAATTCTACTTTTTCAGGTAGAATTTTAGGTATTAATAAGGTGCTATTTTAAATAAAATTAAGGCACTTATGGATAATGATTCTACCTCCTCTCACTGTCCAGTGTAGAGTTAGATTTTTTTTCTTTGCTGCTCTCTGTAGCAGGAAGTAACCATCTGGATTTTGGCTCTTCCAATGTTACAGGATGACAATGGATTTTCCTTACAACTTCACTCTACAATGAACTCCACTTTGCTCCCACACATCCTATGTCTCAAGTGATGTACATGGGATGACCAAAAATATAATTCCACAACAGTGTTCCTGATCGTCCTGTCAGCTGCATCTTATGTGAAAAGTACACTATGTGCTTATTAGTGGTGTAGAAGAAAAATAAGAAATTACAAATCTGTGAATATTAATAGAGAAGCTTATAAGCTAAAACATATTTCATCATGAACTGTAAAAATGTCACATTCCCAGAAAATGAGGAATTTTTCCTATAACATGGATTGTAGCCACATTACATGGGATGAAAAGAGATTACTAGTATGAAGTGTCTAGTTTTTGTTTCAGAATTTACTTCTTGAGAAGCCTTTTTTAACCTGTAAGATATTAAATAATATGTATTTGAAAATCACAGTGAAAGAATAAAAAGAAGAGGGTTCAAACATAGAAGAAAATAAAAGGATTAAACAATTTTATGCAGAAGAGGGAATCAAAAGAACGTCAGTGTGGTTGTAACAAGGTATAGGACAAAAAGACAGGAAACATTTTCCAAATCTTCCCCACCAAAAAATACTAAAGCAAAGGGAGATTCAGTAAAAACAGAGAGATAATTAAAATTTTATAAAAAACTTAAATGGATGATTTATTGATGGAAACACTTTTAGCAAAACAACACATCAGCCAAGAGCTTAGTAAAAGCTGTTCTTATCATAAAGTTTTGTCATAGAGCATAGCTATCTGATATAGGCCAGAATATGATGAAAAGCATCCCTTTATCAGGCAGATCAAACCAATGGATGCCAGTGAGGCCCAGTTACTCCTAGATGCAAGGGCTGACAGATCTCATCACCTGACACTGAGCCAACAGTAGTTGTTTTCATTTTGTAACCAGCACTGACACTGGTAAAAAGCTGGTCACCAACCAGTGACCACCTGAAGCTGGATTCTGTTTGCATTTAATGAAAAGGAAGAAAACAATGAAATCCCCAAGTTGCTAATTGACATTATTTCTGAGAATTAAGGAATCTTGTTAGTTCAGTCAACAGAACCGAAGAGCTCAGGGTCTTTTAAGACATTCCAAACTTCTTCTACATTTATGCCTAAAGACAGCCTGGAATTTGCACTGAAACAGAAGAAAACTTGTAGGGAAGTCCTGACAGACCTAGTCTGAGGAATCAGCCCAGAAAAATTACAGTCAGAAATAAGTAAACTGATATACAAACCTAAATCAGATCAGACAATGGGAAAAAGGAAGAATTGTCCCAAGTCTGATCAAATTCTTTCTGAAAAGAAGACCAAGCAAAACAGTAAAACAGAAGTTCAGTAGGCAGCAAGGGTTATATCAAGTTTAAAGATAATGTAGAGACAGCCCCAACTTCTAAAGAAATAAAGATGATCACAGTGAAGCCTGAACTAATCTCCAGACGACAAGCAGAAGTAGTAAATAAAAAGTGTAATAGTGTTTCACCACGTTCAAGAAAGGACAATCAAGAAAACAAATACATTTCCATTGCAGAGTTCAAATAAAACTATTTCACAATTGAACACAGCAGCAAGTGAAATTAAACATCTAGTGACAAAGTAGGAAGTAACAAGTTACCTTTTGACTGGAGAACAGCAGATATTTAAGGGAGAAGGCACGTTTGGGAAAACTGTAGTCCGCTCAGAGTAGGAGGCTTTATATATATATATATTTTATTTATTTATATATATATATATATA